ATATCCTACAAAAACATAAGATATAACTCTCTTAAAAATCTATATGGACAGATAAGTTGCAACTCGAAAGATAGAAAAGAACAAGCATAATGAGATTCAGAAATTTGGAAAGTAAGAGTAGAAAGGGAGCTACAGGGTTTAAATGCATTACGTCACACTCGCACAGAGAAAGAGAATCACAAATGATGGTTTTAAATATAGATCATAAAAAAGCAACCAAGAATCAACCATAGTTAGGATATCATAGACAAGTAAAGCACACCTTTAAGCGCAATTCTGCACTAATAATCTCCAAATCCCTCACAGGATCCACAGTATCATCAACATGGATGATATCCGGATCTTCAAATGCACCTAGAAAAATGGTTAAAGAGAACAGTGAATTTCATAGTAGCAATACATTCATACAAGACCATTACAAAGAGGACAGACGAGAAGTCCATCAGATCCACCTCCTCAACAAAAACGCATTAGCTGAATGACACTAAAAGGAATCTTTGAAAAATACTTTGACAATGATGCCAAACAGAAGTTAAAACTAATTCCATCCAATAGCAGATCCATTTCCTCTGCTTTATCATAAAAAAACATATTGCTTATTTCCATCCAAACAGTCCACATAAGAGCCAAACTGCACACCATCAAAGAGAATCGTCTTTCTTGCCTCCCATATCCAAGAAATTCTCCCTCAACAGGAAATACAACTTTGAGGACCAACCCACACCACTGTGAAGGTGAACATGCATAGGGTCTTCTTCTTTGAAGCATGTCACGGGTCACAATTATTTATGTTCTCATGACATAATAAAACCAACTGAAATTTGGATTGTACTGTGTAGACCAACCATCCAATTAACTTGCATGGCCCAAAGACATGATAAGTTAGAGAAAAGCTGTGACCTGTATACACATTAACTCTCCTTAGCAACTACAAGTGTTTCACTCCCCTCATAAAGAAGATTCTTTTTTAGTTTTTCTCAAACTTTAGCTACACTGTCCATCATCCTAAAGATAGACATGAAATAAATATGATACTACTCAAGACAGACTAATAAGTATAAGTCTCCCCTTAGTTCTTCATGTGAATATTAGAATCATACAGTTATTTGGCTGTTACAGAAGTACCATGCCTTCTAAGATAACAACATTCAAGCATGTAGTGCATCGAAAGTAGAAACATCTTACGTAAAACATGAAAGATGCCATCAACGGCACGGATATGGGATAAGAAACTGTTGCCCAACCCTTGTCCTTCGTGGGCACCTCGAACAAGTCCGGCTATATCATGGATTTCTAAAAAAGCTGAGACCTGCATATCAAAATGAATTGCACATGTTAAGAAAAGTTCAATAAAATTATATGCATGAACAATAAGCTTACCTACCAAAATTAAAAATTCAATTGCCTTTGTCAAAAATAATATCACCATTCATATAAACATATTTGGTTGCAGAAATAGGTAATTAAAATTGTGTTAGTAACCAAACAGGTAGATGGTCTGTTCCAGTTTCAACCCCTACTACAGTACCATCAACATTCATGAAAATTGCCCATAATAATAAGAAGGGGGGACCCAAACTTGGGATCCTATGGTGACCTGTCAATGTCCACCTGGTATTTTATTTTTCTTTAGTTGGTTTTTTCATCACTAAAAAGTTTTCATTTATGCCCTGGCGTTTGTAGATTATTGCAACCATCTAGGGAATCTATTGCTTGACAACCAACACTCAAGCAGCATGCAATAGATGGTAACAACTAAACTGATGAAAAAGATGCCAAACACTGAAATACTAAACAACTCATAGTAGGGTTCAATACATGGTAAGGATTAAAATCATAGAGATGCAAGCAATGACATTGAAGGGAACAATGTTAGTGTGACACAAGAGACAGTAAGATTAAAACGGGAGGACATGGCAGCAACGGCAATGATATACAAATAAAGAGAGTGCAAAAACTATCATGAAAATTCAAGGAAAAAAAAGGTCTAATAAGAATCAAGAGTCTGAATGGAAACGCAAAAAGGCAATCCATCAAATATCATAATTTTTAAAAATTGTCATAGTCTGAAAGATACCAAAACTACCAGCCAAACCTGATCTCAGTAGTTAGCAGAAAACCATAACATAAGGCTTCCCACAGTAAATCATGTCAGAGACAAACCTCGCTTTTTGGCTTGTACAATTGACAAAGCCAGTCAAATCGCTCATCGGGAACATTGACTCGGGCTTCATTGGGTTCAATTGTGCAGAAAGGGAAGTTCTCAGCAGGTATTGACAACTTTGTGAGAGTGTTAAAAAGAGTAGATTTTCCAACATTCGGCAATCCAACCTATCCAGAAACAAAAGCTTAGAGTACAATCACTTCATCATTTGCAATATTTAACTACTTTCCTTTTTAATGTGGACTTGCAAATGCAACAGAAAACTACAAAACTAAGTACAATTACAGCTCAACCTGAGAACTCAATAATTGGGGTAAAATATTAAATTGAACGCAAAATTTAAAGAAAATTTTCATTATATATATTTAACATGCATGATGCTGCGCTTTAAAAACAAATAAATGAAAAGGTCATAATAGCTCAACCCAAAAATTAACATATGGAATCGGCATCACTCAAAATTGTCTTACACGCTAATGAAGTGAAATGACCCAATTTTTTTTCAATTCCTGTTCATTTCCTAGTTTTCTGGGGAATCAAACGGAAAAATAAATTGAGAAACATAATGAACAAACAGGGATATGAGCTTACAATGCCAATCTTAAGGTGAGATGAGAATCGGCCAAGGATGGGTCGCTCAGCTGGTGCTTCCTTAGCTTTTGCAGATTTGGGAGGCATTTTGAGATTATGAGCAAGACGAAGAGACGAAGAGACGAAGCGAGCAGCTGAGAGTTTCTAGGGTTTTGTACGGAGTGAGGTGGTACGTTGGTTTAAGAAGAAAGGAGAGTAAAAGATTTCAGTTATCAGTTCTGAGCTTTTTTATACCCAACGGTTCGAACCCTAGTGAGCAGTTGACACTCACACTCGCGTTAGCCCAACGCACTACCTCACAAGGAGATGATTTTTTCATCTTTCTTCCTTCACATCGCTTGAATAAATAAATAAGCAATATAGAGGTTTTTATTTACTTGAATTTTGAGCTCTCTCTTTTACTTTTATCTTTTTTAGAAAAAATTATAGCATGTATTAACGTACTTGGCTCTTTACTTTTGTTTTTTGGTTAACTTCTTTAATTTAATATATATAATTAAGTAAAATTTTATCTTTTTTTAATTACTTTAATTAGTAATTATGTTTTAATTATTATTATTTTAGTTAATATTTAAATATTTTATTAATTTCATAAATTACTTAATAAATAGTAATTATTTATTTTGTGGACTTAATTTTTTGTTTTTTGAATATTAAATAATAATTAAAACATAATATATTTAAATAGTATAACCACGCGGCTATACTCTTTAAATAGAATATTTCAAAAGTATAGTTGTGCGACTATACTCCATAAATAAAATATTTCAACAGTATAGCCGCGGCTATACCCTTTAAATAGCATAATCCGAATTTCTCTTTTTTAATTACTTTAATTAGTAGTAATGTTTTAATTATTATTTACTTAATGAATAATTAATATTCAAATATTTTATACAAGAACAAAATTAAAAAATTAATTACTATTTATTAAGTAATATGATTTATGAAGTAAATTAAAATATTTAATACTAATCATTCACTAAAGAAATAATATTAATGAAAGTAATTAAATAAGACTCTGATATTATTTAAACCGTATAGCCGTGTGGCTATACTCAATAAATAGAATATTTAAATGGTATAGCCGTGCGGCGATACTCAAGAAATAGAATTTTTCACAATATAGCGGGGCGGCGATACTTCTTAAATAGATTTTTTTTTTACCGTATAGACGAGGGGCTGTACTCCATAAATAGATTTTTTTTTTTAACAGTATAGCCGTTCGGCTATAATCCATAAATAGAATATTTAAAGCGTACAGCCGCGCGGCTATACCCAAAAATAGAATTTTTTTCAACATATAGCCGTGCGGCTATACTCTGTAAATAGAATATTTTAAAAGTACAGCCGACCGGCTGGACTCCATAAATAGAATATTTTAATCGTATAGCCGCGCGGCTATACTCTGACCCTCCAACATGTCTCCGTGAACCAATCAATGGAAAGGCACCAAATTCAGAGACCCAATACTAAGCAAAGCCTCTATCTGGGTAGTATGTATTTGTTTTAGTAATTTGTTTTTATGTTTTACAACATCAAAATTCAGTTTGACTTGTACAGATTAAAAGATCTCTAGAGGATCTTAGTTGTAATTTTTTTTTTTCTCAGTTAAAAAAATTATATGACATATAATTTTACAACAAAATCTTGTGAAATTCTAGCATAAGAGAACGTAATTTAAAGTTTTGGTCTTTGTGACTCTCAACATCTTCATAAAATCAAATATTTTTTTAATTGCCAAATGAAAAATACTTTTAAACTTGCAACTTTATTTAGCTTAATCTTAGCAAAAAAATATATTGGGCTGTTTGGATTTTTTTTAATTAAAGGGAGCTTCTATAGTGAGGGGAAAGTTATAAGGGGTGTTTTTGAGGGGTATGTAAGAGTCGTTGGATTTCATCCAACGGTGAGTTTTCAATATTGGCTTTTTGGTAAAACCGGGTTGAAATTACCCATACCAAAGAGATGCAATCCGAAAGTGTAAAGCACGCTCTCTCATCCTGGTTAACCCTCCTTCCTCCCAAGCCACCCACTCTGCAATATGTTTTTCTTCTCTCTCTCTCTCTCTCTCTCTCTCGCCATCTCTGGTTTGTGGTTATCAAAGAACCAAAATCCATTCAGCAAATATCTTGCAACCAACACAGACACAACGGAGGGTTTTGGGTCTTTTTTTTATTATTGACACTTTATCATCTCAAAAATTCATTTTCTAACGCCCAACTTCTCCTAATTCCTCTCCTCTCCTCTCTCGCACTCTCTCAAATCTTGCCTCATCTCCAGCTCGCCAGCCATCTCCCTACTGTCCAATCCAGTTCTCCACCCATCAATCGTCATAACCCAGCTCTCCTCAAATTCGGAACCCTAGCTTGACCCTAGCCAAGCCGCCGCAACTCACGACCTCCGTTGTCGACCTCCACCGCGAAGCCACTATCGCGACTCCACAGCCCAGCCACAGTCGCGACCTCCGTTGTCGTTCTCGACAGCGGTGAGTTCTGATATTAGTTTTGTACTCTCTGTCTGTTATAAATTCGTTGATCCCCTTTTCTTATTATTGCAACATTAGGGGCATTCATGGGCTCCATTTTTGGCTACGGTCCTCTATCTCTCTCCCTCTCCTTCTCTGTAAGTCCTCTTCTTCTCCGTCTTCAAATTTCAGTAATCCTCTTTACCACTAACCTGAACCACCTACTTCTCTGGTTCTCTTCTTCTTCATGTCATTCAATTTCAATTTTTTTTCTTTCTAAATTCTATTTTAGGGATTTAGGAATTAGGGATTCAGTTGGGTTAATTTTGAAATTCTAATTTAGCGATTCATTC